CATCCCTCAAAAAGAGTTGTCCCCAAACTTGGCCCATTTAAAGATGAGTGCATTCAAACCCCAAAAATCCCCCACCCAGCACTTTCGGGAGGTTGAGGTCCACTCATCTTAAAGTGGCCAAGTTTGGACAACACTGCTCTAAAGTTAAGGATGTAATGAAGGATTCTAAATGCGGTCTGATAACCCAAGCCTGAAGGAAATCTTCAACTGTTGGAGAATTTATTAGATTTTATACAAGCAAGGATCTAATTGTGGAAGGCTAATTTTAGCTTTAAAAGCTTGTACATCTTCATCAGATAGATTCTCAAATTCACTATATAAGTACAATTTTTTAAAATGAAAAATTGTATCTTCAAGAGATCCAAATATCTTCTTCCCATCTTTGATGGCTGTAGTGATTTCTTAATCTTTTTTGTTGTTGTTGTTGCTCTAAATGATCTGCCAAGATTCAGCCATATCCCTCATCATTTGTCTGTATTTTTAAGGTAAGCATATTAAGTTAACATTCAGATCACTGTGATATTATTCAACTCATATTTAACTTGTTGAATTTTCCTTCATGGCCTAATAACAGTACATCTGGCCATTTGTGTTCAAAAATTTACTTTTCAAATTAGTCGTTAAAATATTTTTTAGAGTCTCCTTATATGATGTACATGCAATAATATGACTACACATACAAGCCAATATTAGTCACTTCTTTGATTATGGATGAGATAAAAGAAGGGATTTTGGCTATAAATAATGAAACTTGATGCATTTCTTGTGGAATGGTATAAAAGAATTGGTATACTTGTCCCTAAGCTCCATCAACTATACAAGGAGAATTGAAAGTGATATGTCATCATCTTCATTTAATGAAGTTTATATCACAGTCATACCAAAACCTGGTAAAGATCATACATTAGGTGTTAACTATAACCCTATTTCATTGGTTAGATATTAAAATCTTAACACCTGTTTTTAGTAAAAAGAATTTAGCAAGTGATTTCTTCAGGAACAAGAGTGATCCAGTTGGGTTCATCAAAACTAGACATGGATCAAATAATATTCAGCTGGCAATAGATTTGATTGTTTTGAATAAAGATAGAAAAGACAAAGCTGTATTTCTATTGCTTCAGGGGGAAAAGGTTTTGATAAAATCTATAGGTAGTACAGATAGTCCTCACTTACCAACCGTAACTGGGACCAGCACAAGAGTGGCATGAATAATTCCACAGGGCACACAAAATTTGAGAGAATTCTTCTAATTAACTGAGACAGATCACAACTGAGCTATTTACTATCTAGGTGACAGAGAACATAATATGCAAATCAGGCCTAAGATACAATTTCTGACAGCACAGTTTTTAGGGTTTTAATTGTTTTAAAGTGTTTTAATGGTTTTTTGTTGTTATTGCTTGATTATTTATTTGCATCTGTTTTTTAACTGTGTGAGCAATTCAGTGTTGTGTATGTGAGATGGGTAGCTATACAAATTGAATAAATAAATAAAAATACAAACCAAGACTGCAATCCTCAAGTCACAAGTTCTACACTATGTCCAAAAGCTAAGTAATTCAGCTGTAAAAATATATGCAGAAGAACAACTGCATCTGGCAAATGCTCAAATATCCTTCACAGTAACTAATCGCAATCAAGGCTCCTTCAGCCTTGACGGACTAGGCCTTGACACGATCATCTCTCTGGAGGAATGATGGGGTATTAAAGAGAGAAATTCAGTCAGATGAATCTTGCTAATGTTTAAAAAATATGTTAGCAAAAAGTTTCTTCCTGCATTGCATCAAACTACAGGATCTAAAGTCTCCATCCTACTTCCTCACCTGTCAGCTTTAACCACAGTTAATATTACATCTTCATCATCATTAACCATGATCGTTAATGCTCATCATAGTTTCCTCTAAATCTATATTATAAGCTAGTTTGTAAATTCTGCGTGAAAACAAATCCTGATTAGCACTGATCCTAGAGATGATACTGAAAAAGCTTGAGATAGCGAAAGAAAAGCCTCTGTAAACTAGAACTGGAATTATTTTCAAGACATTGTTTGATGTTTCTGCCCTGATAGTTAAAATTAGATTTATCCATTATTTTTGTGTCTGCTAAGTTGTTGACTAGAATCAGAGAAATCATATTCAAATTTCACTCAGCCTTGGATATTCACTGAGTGATTGACAGATACTATCTTTCAACTTATCTTACATCACAGGAGTGCCATTACAAGGATAAAATTGGAGGAAAGGAATATTTAATCTTTGAGCTTTAGGAAAAAATGAGGACATAAATCAAAACAATCTAGGGACTAGAGGAAACAGTTAAATTTGGCAACCGTTTAGATTAGAATTGAAAAAGGGACACCACTGAGGCCTGACAAGTATGGAGAATGTTTTCTTCCCCTTTCATTGCTTCAGTTGGATTCTACTCCTGAAACCACTTTTCAAAGAGTTATCAACTCTGTGAAAAGTGAAAAGCCACAGCAACATTTTAATGATCGTGCTTAAAACTTAAATTGAACTCATTTTGTACAGCTAATTGCCAAATTGCAGTGTTCCCCCAAGTTGCAGTACTTATGCTCTTTATTCATGAAGAGATCCAACCACTTACTAACTGTAACACTTTCTTTTCTTTTACTTTGTTTAGACCTTGAGTATATAGATTAAATATTTTCTTAGTTCACTTTACGTCTCCACTAAAACAAGTTCTTTCCTTTTAACGTTAGCTTCCCAGTTTAACTTTCAACTTTCCATTTTAAAAAGTTTTCAAAGTCAACTTGCAATATTGCTCCTGCCACGACAAACCATGTCAGGTAAAAAGCAGCCCATTTGCCTTGTGGCATTTTATGTGAGTTCTAACAACACTGGAACCCCAGTACAATAGACAATCAGCAGCAGCCACATAAACAGTTTGTGGCATCACAACCTGCACGTGTAAAACTGCTTTAAAACAAGAGATATTGACTAGGTAAATTCACATCATATCAGAAGGACAAGAAGACGACTCTATAGTTTAATTTCAACCTATTTTTATAAACAAGCTAGTCATGTATTACTAAATATCTTATTAAAGATTATTATTTTATAGACAAAAATGTTTTTAAGAACTACACTCAGAAGTTCTTCTTTAACGATCATGTTCTTACATTTCTGTCAAGTTACAAGCATATGCTCAATAGGAACAAAACTGGGAATACATATAAGCGATTCTTATGTTGCTCCTTTTCCCTTGTGCATGCAGCTGAGCCATCTATAGTCTCACATATCTGACAGGCAAACTGCATCACAGAACAAGGAATATGATCAGGATTTCACTGGAAGTTCTTATTCCATCCCAAACAAAATTCCTCCTTTGATCCCTTGCATTTGGGCAGGTGTGTCTGACTGTTGACAATACATCTGCTGTTGCTGGAAAGGCCCCAGAACAGTACTTAACACTACATAAAGTCATTCCTTAACATGCATTAAAATGAGAAAAAAAGCAAAATTTGATAGGATGCCTGCAAAAGCCATTTTATTATTTTCATTATGAATTAGGTTTAGTATTATTACAATTAAATTATATTACAGTATAAATTAATCAGGTATAAGCATTCTATACTGGAAGTGCAAAACTACAGGCTGATAAATTTCCTTTTTTGACTACAAACTAGGTGGGCCTAACGTTTGTGTTTCTTCTTTTTGATCGGGGGGGGGGCTTGGGAAGAGGCCATTTTAAGGTAATATACCCACTCCTCGTTTAGCGACTGCGTTCCATTCCAATGACCAAGTCGTTAAATGAAAACGTGACTGAGAGAGAGAGAGAGAGACGCTGTCAAAATCACCGGTTGCTGCCCTCATATTCAGATAAAGTTCTTTCATATAGCTACACCAGCGTTACTCTCACTCCAGCGTGGGTTGTTATCAGGTGCAGAAATTTGGTCATAAGTGTGTACATTAGTCAGAGAATGATTTTTTTTTTATTACTGTTATATTTGTGAATGGTTGCTAACTGAGGTAATTGCTAAACAAGGAGTGGCTGTATGGCTGTTTTACGTCCTGCAGATGCCTAAGGCACATATTTCGCCCGTTAACATTTCTGCAATGACCCTGCCCAGTTTTGGCATGAAACTCTCAACATGTCACACAAAGCCTAACAGTCTGGCCCCCAAGGTGAGAAAGCTGTGCACCCCTGTTCTATACCATATTACAATCAAAGTATATGTACAGTTAGTCCTCTCTTAACGACTGCCCTGTTTAGCAACTCTTCGAAGTTACGATGGTGCTAGAAAAGTAACTTTATGACCAATCCTCACACTTACGACTGTTGTGATGTCCCTGCGGTCACATGATCACCACTTGCTCAATTCACAGCCAGATTCTGACAAGCAGTTAATGGAGAAGCTGGCAGTAAAATTGCAAGCTGTGGTCACGCGATATTTCGCTTAATGACCGCATCACTTAATGACTTAATGCTGGTCCCAATTGTAGTTGTTAAGCAAGGATTCCCTGTAATCTAAAACAGTTAATGCTGAAATTGGCAGCCCAAAGTTTAATTTCCATGCTTCACTTTGTAAACTGTCGCTCATATCCTATGATGCCTTGGTGAGTATTTCTTCATACCCACCAGTCCTTACTATGAAGTAACAGCTGAAAAATACCATTATCTGAGGGACCACCTCTCCCCGATTACATCGGCCCATCCCATTAAATCCAGCAGGGAAGGTATGCTTGGCCATGTTCCACTGGCCAAGGACTTGCATTTGGTGGGTCCTAGGATATGGGCCTTCTCTGCTGTGGTTCCCTCCTTGTGGAACATTCTCCCTCCTGAAGTTAGGCTTGCCCCTTCCCTGCTGTTGTTTAGGAAGTCTCTCAAGACCTGGTTGTGTCATCAGGCCTGGGGATCTTTGGGAACCGGAGATGTTCTTAGATGGCTCCACTGTGATATTCTGTTCTCTCTGTGGGTTTGTATATTTTAAAATCTAAAAGTTTTAACATTTTTGATGACATTTTCATTTTAATAATCACTTTTTGTCTTTTTACAACAATTGTTTTTATCCATTTGTTATTTTATTTAATTGTTGTTCGCCGCCCAGAGTCGCTTTGTGTGAGATGGGCGGCTATATAAATGTGACATATAAATAAATAAATAAAGATTTAAAGGAGTACAGTAAAGCTAACTATGTTCAAGAATGAGGGAGATGAAAACTTGATACAGGAGTATTGCTTTAGGGGAAGTCCTGTTTATTTTAATAACATCTAGTTCTGCCAGAGTGATACAGACGCACGCCTGCTAATGGACCCAACTGACTGTGGGCCTCCTCTTTCTGCTCCTTACTCTCTGCCATTTTTAAGCATGTAAGCTGTAACAAAGAGGAGGTGATTGATTAACATACTCGTGTCCTGTCTCAGGGTAGTTGTATAGTTTGAGCATACAACTACCCTGAGGTAAATCAGGCAAATAGGGAATGGGAATGAGGCATAATGTTTCTCAGAGCAGGGCAGGAATGCTTTCGAGGGTGAAGCTCTCTTCCCCAATCCCCAAGGTTGGAGTTGGCACTCTATGCTCTATGATTTTGCTCTATGAATTCAGCACTGGCTTTGGCCAACTTGTATACAGCACTATATATAGAAGGAAATGTGGTCACTTACCTCCCCGACTGGCAAGAACGGTACCATCGTAGGAAAATGTCAAACACGATGGGTCAGTGCCTGGAGCATGTGCTTGCCTGCAGTGAAACTTGGTATGAACCTGTTTGCGGAACAAATCAATATCGCAAAGGTTTGCTAATTTTAGACAAAGTGCACCTGGTTCTTTGAGAACATCAAATGCTTTTTATTGCACTGTTGGATTAAAAAACCAGTAAGCAGTTTCATAATCTCAGGCATTAGAGAAAACAGATGACAGCTGACAACATTCATCTATTCTTGTTCATCACCTTTTATATACATTTAACAGCTTAATTGTATTTGGTAGGCCAAGGATTTGTAACACTTCCAAATATTTAGCTTTAGGGTCCAGAACTATAATAATGTAACCGTGCAATGTTAATATACATGCATCCCTCTCTTTTATATGAGTTAGAGGCAAATATGTATGACTAAGATATAAAAATATTTCTTTTTATCAGGAGAGAACATTCCCATCCTTTCTACGGTATATAAGATTCAAGACCACAAAATATTTCATCTTCTTCTGGACGTATCTTGAAAGTAATCTGGGAAAGTTGGATGCCAAGCCTGAGAAATGCCAAAAAGCCTGGGTTAAAGATTTAGAAAAAAGTACAAAAAAATCTGAGTGTCACTTGGCTTCCTACATACTACTATGAGAATGCATTCCTTGGGAAGGAAAACAAGTTCTTCTACTAAAATACTTTTTAACAATAATCTTTATTTATTAATAGATGAGCAATTTCTTTGTAAACTCTTTTTTTCTTGAGGTATGTTTTAGAAATATCTCTGATAGATGTGGGTTATATTTTAAAATATAAGAATGACTTCCCCATATCTCTGAGTTCATAAGGAAAGGTGGCAAAGCTAGCGAAAGAATATCTTCTCTTCAATGGGCAATCTTTATGATCCGTGAAACTGAATACCCTAATTACACACACACACATACACCTCTCACACATAACAAATCAAAATTAAAAAAGACTATGATCTTTTTAGTCTTTTTTATATTATCAACTGTCTGACCATCTAAGGAGCTGGGCAGTAAAAATACACCCGCACCATAGCCAAAATCAAGCTACAATATGGCTTAGCATATCTACAGAGTATGTGTTATATTTTTTCTAGATGCTTGCACTGATCTGCAACTTTTATATTACGTGTTTTGTTTTCAAAACATCAATCTGTTATCCCTTGCTCTATCTTTGCATTCATGAATGCTTAATTTTCAATCAGGATTTGAGACTTTGAAGTAGGTTTCCGACAAAACCTACAAAAAGATCTCTTCGTCTTTGTTGTACTTGAAGCCAAATTTCCAAGTTTAACCACAGGAGAATTAAAAAAGAATGGATGGTCTGAGCGTTGACAGCTGGAGTTTGGATTGGTCACCCTTCCTTCCTTCAGAATAAAGGTAGGTGCAGTTGCTCTCAGTTCAGACTGATAAGGAACAGCAACAGTAAAGGTAGTCATTGCCAATGGTCTGCCTTAAAGCACTGGCGCACTTTTGCTGTGACTTTTAGTTACTAATTCCAAAGTATTAAGGATATAAAAGATTAAACTTCTGACATCTCCAGGAGCTCTTGGAATGGCTCTCGCTTTAAATTTTGGAAAGCCGCTGCCCATTAGATTAGACAACTGATTCATCATGAAAGCTTTGTAAGTTCAATGCAACAGAGAAATTCCTTCATCCTGGCAGGTTGGAAGCAATTAGGTTCATGAATGGAAGCTGCAGCCCAGCAAATATTTTCTCCAGATGTAGGTACTGAGTTAGAGAAAAATATTGTGCTGCCACTACAAGCAGTTTCATCCAGTAATAGAAATCTTCTGTTCTGTTTTCTCTTCTAATCACCAAATCACACCATAGGTTGCTCAAAGTATGCAATACGACCTACTGATTTGAAAACTCATCTCAAGCTTATCTTTCCTCACTACGCTATAATCTATTTTTTGTTCCTTAAAGATATGTTTCAAGTTTTTCAACTGTGAGATGAATGGAATACAACTCATTTGCATCTGATCCTTCTGTGCTCATTATGGTGTGGTGGGATACACATAATGAGAAATTTGGTAGCATTTCACTTTTTTTTTTTACTAATTACTATAGTACTTCAAAAAATGTGTTTGCCACAAGACTAGATTTATCTATGACGTTTCATCTTATCCATCTTCCAAGGAATCTGAATCAGGAATGCAAAATCAAAGATTATGAGGATGCATTATAATTAACCTGCACCTTTTTTTTGCATGTTAGATACTGATTCAGAATTTTACCAAATCCAAGTAGGAGTAGGAAAAATGCCTGCTTCAAACCTTGTACAACTGAGGCCAGTTCATAAACAGTGCTCAGGTGGACCAGTGACCTTAAAGGATATGTTCCTTTCTCTAAATCTCACAAACTGAGACAAAGAAACAAAAAATTATATCCCAGTTAAAAAAAAAACCAGACCTCTGGGGAAAAAATGGCGAACTGCAGACAGCTCCGCTAAAAGCAGAGCCGACGACCGCAGCAGAATGAAGAGCCAGTGAGTAGACTGGCTCTTTGTAATTCCTCTCCGGACAAGGGGAGGATTTGAGATTGCCCACAAGTGCTCCATACAGCTGCTCTTCACAAGGAGGCTGCAAGACAGTGGTCTCTGGTGGGTTTAGAGCTCTGGGAGATGAGGGAATAGCCATCTTGCTCAATGCACAGTTGGCATCTTTAAGGATACTGGATTTGCATACTTCTTTTCTAATCACTTTCAGAAATTGCTTGTTAACTGCTTTTCAGCTATTAAGAACCTTTGGATTGACAGGTTTTACAGCACTGGGTGAGTTCCTTCAATCCTTAGTGAAAGAAGTTTTAAACACAAGTTTAAGAATTTAAATTTTTTTTCTGGAATAAACAGCAAAACTTTGCTGTTTGATTAAAACTTTGATTTTAGAAAATTACAAACAGACTAAAGGTCCAGCTAAATTTGAAATAATATTTTGGAATTAATTATAAGAATGTTTCCCGTGGGAAAATGCTTTTGTTTTGAATTCTTTTAAAAAAACATGATAGGATGGAACTTTGAAAATTGGATACTAGAGGGAACTAGAAGGAACTAAAGATTACAATTAAAGGAGAAGAACAC